CCAGAGGCCATGTTCTCTTTCCTGCCAGATGGCTCTTTAGTAGACCTTCTCCTGCTTGGAATCTCTCACTCCCTCTGCCTCTGACCCCACACCCAGATTTAAATGGCTTCTGTGATTAAGCCAGGACCACCTGGATAATCTTTTCTATTAACTCAAAATCAACTAATTACTAACTTTTATTATATCAGCAAAAATCCCCTTTGTTAAAATAACGTAATTTTGGGAGTGATATCCCATTATACTTACAGGTTCTGTCTTCACTCAAGGGGAAGGAGTTATAGAGGTGTATACTCTGGGGCAATCTTAGAACCTTCTAGAAGATGGAAAATATAACAAAAAATATGTAGTATATATATAGTTAGAGTCAAGATAGACTGAATTCTCATCTCATTCACCACTATCATTTCTTAGCTCTGTGACTCTAAGCAAATTATTTTAATTTCTCTGTGCCTCATTACCTCATCTTTTAGTGGGAAAGGTGGGGAAAGACAGACAATAAATGTAAACATAAATACAATTTAAAGAGCATGTCAGAGGAGAATCCAAGATGGTGGCATAGGCAAACACCTAACTGCAGCCTCACACAACAATTTCAATAAAATACAACTAAAATACAAAATGGACATTACCCAGAACTACAGGAAAGTCGACTGACTGGAAATTCTACAATGAGAAGGAAAGAGAAAACCAGAAGGAAAATCAGAGGAGCTGTAAAAGCCTAAGGTACGGAGACACGTTGCTAGGTGGAGAGGATGGAGTCAGAGAGGAGGGGTGGCTGAGTGCCTGGCTGGTGTTCCCTAGGAGGAAGGAGATAAAAGCCCGGACTGTGCTGAACCCCAGTTCCTACAGCACTGAACCCCAGTTTTAGGCCAGACCCTGGGGACCCAGGCTCATACAGAGGGAGCCGGGGCTGTTAGGTGGAATCTCAGGGGAGCGGCGAAAGGAAGTCCCGGAGGTGCGCACATTTCCCGCAAAGGACGGACCTTTGACTCTGCTGCTAGATTGCCCTAGTGGGAAGGAGACAAAAGTTCCGGACTGTGCTGAGCCGCAGTTCCGGCTGCACTGAACCCCAGTTCTAGGCCAGACCCTGGAGACACAGGCTCATACAGAGGGGCCTGGGCTGTAAGGCGGAACCCCAGGGGAGCGGCGAAAGGAAGTCCCGGAGACACACACACAGCACGCAGGGAACGGGCAGTTACCTGTGCCGCGGGATTGCCCTGGCGGGAGGGAGGCAGGGGCTCCAGACCGCTCTGAACCCCACTTCCAACCCTACTTCCAATTGAGCTGAACTCTAGTTCAGGGCTCATTGGGGGAGAACCTAGACTGTTTGGTAGTGGGGGAAACTCGAGGGCACCTTTCTCTCAGAGGTACTTGCAGCGAGTACTGAAGGACCCTGAGGAATACTGAGAATCAGGAGCCGCATAGGGTGGGGCTGACGGCAGCCAAGGCTGTTGGCTCCACCCTGAAACTCCGCCCATTCAAGCTGAACACAGAGACTTTTAAGGCTACCAACTCAGGGAAGCTGCGAAAATGCTGAGACAAGGAAACAGGTCACAAATGAAAGAAACGGAGGACAAAAAGCGACTAGATATAGAGTTCAAAACCATGCTTATAAGGTTTTTCAAGTATTTCCTAGAAAAGGCCAATAAAATAAATGAGACCTATGAGGATATGAAAAGGGATCAACTAGAAATAATAATGGATCAACAAGAAATAATAAGGGATCAACAACAAATAAAGAATACATTGTCTGAAATAAAAAATATTATACAGAGTCCTAAAAAAAGGAAGGAAGATCACAAGAATCAAGTCAAGGATTTGGATCATAAAGAGCCAGAAGACACTCTTCCGCAGAAGCAAGAAGACAAGAGAATCCAGAAAGTTGAAGATAATGTAAGAAATCTCTGGGAAAACTTCAAGCGAACCATCAGAATTATGGGGGTCCCAGAAGAAGAGAGAGAGCAAGATACCAAAAACATACTGAAAGAAATAGGAACAGAAAACTTCCCCCACCTGTTGAAAGAATTAGACCTACAAGTCCAGGAAGCACACAGAACCCCACACAAAAGGAATACAAAGAGGACCACACCAAGACACATCATAATTAAAATGCCAAGAGCAAAAGACAAAGAGAGAATACTAAAAGCAGCAAGAGAAAAGCAGTAGTTACCTATAAAGGAGCACCCATACAATTGTCAGCTGATTTCTCAACAGAAACCATGCAGGCCACAGGGAATGGCAAGAAATATTCAAGGTGATGAATAGCAAGAACCTACAGCCAAAAATACTCTACCCAGCAAAACTATCACTGAGAACCGAAGGCTAGATAAAGAGCTTCACTAATAAAAAAAAAAGCTAAAGGAGTTCATCACTGCCAAACCAGAATTATATGAATTGCTGAAGGGGGTTCTTTCAGAAGAGAAAGAAAATAAAGATAAAAATTATGGACAACAAATATGTAACTATCAACAAGTGAATCTAAAATCAAAGGGAATTAAAAAAATCTGATGAACAATATTAACTGATGAATATAATAGAATCAGAGGTATGGAAGGGGAGTGAACTGACGATTCTCGGGGAAAAGGGAAGTGGGGGATGTGGGAAGAGACTGAACATAAACTGTGCACCTATGGATGAGGACAATGTGGAGTGGAGAAAGGGCAGGGGGTTGGGTGGGAACCTGGTGGAGGGGAGCAATGGAGGGGGGGGGAATGAGAAACATTTGTAATAATATGAACAATAAAGGTTTATTTAAAAAAATAAAATAAAATAAAATAAAGATCATGTCATAAGGTGATAGGTGCTATGGGAAAATAAGATAGGGTGAGGAAGGAGTGGAGGGAACAATTTTAAATAGGATGGTCAGGATAGGCCTTATTGGGAAGGTGACATTGAACAAAAACGTGAAGAGTCGTGCTAATATCAGGAGAAGAGCTTTTTAGGCAAAAGCATGCTGCAAGAGCACATTATGAGTTTTCTTTTTCTTTTTTAAAAAAATATATTTTATTGATTTTTTTTACAGAGAGGAAGAGAGAGGGATAGAGAGTTAGAAACATCGATGAGAGAGAATCATCGGTCAGCTGCCTCTTGTACACCCCCTACTGGGAATGTGCCAGCAACCAAGGTACATGCCCTTGACCGGAATCGAACTTGCGACCTTTCAGTCTGCAGGCTGACGCTCTATCCATTGAGCCAAACCGGTTTCGGCGACATTATGAGTTTTCTGATTGGAAAAGTGAATACTCTTTTTTACATAGGCTACCCTCACTTATAATTTCCAATTTCTTTTCTTTATGGTTGAGTAAGAATTTACAGGTACTCTGTGTACACAATTCTTTTAAAGCTTTCACAGTTATTTTCCAGTTTTCCCACCAACATTTAAGTCAATGGCTTTCTTTTTCTTTTAGCTATTCACTTACCGAGTCCTCCAACGCTTTCATTGAAGTTTGTGTAGAAATAATCACATCTTTTGTTTCTCATTAATATTTTATCATTTATTTAATAATTACAAGTATAATGGGCATAAACAGATTTGGGAACAAGAAAAATGATTTCGATTAGTGGGAGCAGTGGTAACGGGGTATACTACAGCCTAATTGCCCACCAGTGGTAACCTTCAATGGGTGAACATAGTGGATAGAGTGTGCCCATGAATCTAGTGAGAAGGCCAGACAGAGGTCAGTTAGAAGGGTTTTATTGTACTTAACAACATGGTTGAATAAGTGTCATATAAATAAAAGTTTATACCCAAATTAAAAACAGGTGGTGTTTTTTTTTTGTTGTTGTTTTTTAAAAAAAATATATATTTTATTGATTTTTTACAGAGAAGAGAGATAGAGAGCCAGAAACGTCGATGAGAGAGAAACATCGACCAGCCGCCTCCTGCACACCCCCTACCGGGGATGTGCCCGCAACCAATATACATGCCCTTGACTGGAATCGAACCTGGGACCTTTCAGTCCACAGACCGACGCTCTACCACTGAGCCAAACTGATTTCGGCTAAAAACAGGTTTTTTTTTTTTTACTCTTCCTGGGGTGTTGAGAAAGATAGCTGCTACATTATATCAGACCAAAGGCCCGGTGCATGAAATTTCTGCACTGGTGGGATTGGGATTGGGCCTAAACCGGCAGTCAGACCTCCCTCTCATAATCCGGGACTGCTGGCTTCCAACCACTTGCATGCTTGGCTGCCTGCCTGATTGCCCCTAACCACTCTGCATACCAGCCTGATAGCTCCTTACCCACTTCCCTGCTGGCATGATTGACACCTAACTGCTCCCCTGCAGGCCTGGTTGCTCCCAACTGCCCTCCTCTGCTGGCCATCTTGTGACAATGTGGGGGTGGCCATCTTATGGTGACATGGGGTGGCCATCTTGTTTTTTAATTTTTTTTTATTGATTATGGTATCACATAATTGTCCTCATCCCACCATTCCCATCCCAAACCCCTCCCCACGTATGTCCCCACCCGCCTGTTGTTCATGACCACTAGTTTGGCTTATATGCATGCATACAAGACCTTTGGTTGATCTCTCTCCCTTTCCCCCACCCTCCCCTACCATCCCTCTGAGGTTTGAGAGTCTGATCGATGCTTCCCTATCTCTGGATCTGTTTTTGCTCATCAGTTTATGTTGCTCATTATTTTGGGGCAGCCATCTTGTGATGACAGGGGTGGCCATCTTGGACGGCCAAATAATATAAAAAATCCTAAGAGGAATTTTTATATTATTATATCCATTTTATAGATGAGGTAATGAAGCACAGAGAAATTAAAAATAACTTGCTTAGCGTCCCAGAGCTAAGAAATGTAAGTGATGAAATGAAATTAGAATTCAGTCCATCTTGATGCTAAGTGTATATATATATATATATATATATATATATATATATATATTACTTTTTTTTTTCTGTCATATTCTCCATCCTCTAGAACTTGAAAGGCAAGTGATTAGTAAATATTTTAAATGCTTCCAGAACAAAATGATGCTTTTTCTTACAGAGAACAACAGGCTGTTTATTGTGATGGAGTATTGTGATGGAGGGGACCTAATGAAAAGAATCTATAGACAACGGGGAGTGTTATTTAGTGAAGATCAGGTAAAAACACTTCTAATTTCCATTTTAATTTATATGGGGACATTAAATTTATAATCCCATAAGTAATAGACTGTGTTTAGATGAAGCATGATTTCTGGTAGAGAATTCAAATCACAAAATAGTGATCAATATTCTTGATAGAGTTAGTCTAGAATATGTTTGCAATTGAACTTAAATTGAATCTCTTTGAGAGTGAAGTTTGCTTGAGAAAATATAGTATCTTATTTTTGGACAGCCTCATGTAGGGTGTCCCTGAGATTAATTTTCACAGATAAAAAATCTGAATGTGGATATTCCTTGGCCATTTTAAATGTGACATATTTATAGGTTCACTCTTCTTCCTTTTACAATTTGTGTTCACTTTGCTAGGGAGGATAGAAGCTCTTCTTATCAATAGCTATTTCATTTCATTGATTATTAAGAGCAATGCCCTTGATTTTCATTTTCTTTTTTGCACAAACACATTTTCCTACTATATTCTAAGCTTTTTTAAGAAACTTCTTGGGAGTTGTACTTCTGATGGAGATAGGTATATGTGTATGGAGAAGAATCTCAAACAGGCCTAATGTGACTGATGCGAAAGGTCACTGTCTCAAGTAGTCCCAGAAATGGCCCAACAGCTTTCTTTCTTTTTCTTTTATAAAGAACTAGAGGCCCAGTGCACAAAATTTGTGTATGGGGTGTGTGTGTGTATGTGAGTGTGTCCTCAGCCCAGCCTGCACCCTCTCCAATCTGGGACCTCTTGGGGGCAGTCAGACATCCCTCTCACAATCCAGGACTGCTGGCTCCCAACTGCTCGCCTGCCTGCCTTCCTGATTGCCCCTAACCGCTTCTGCCTGCCAGTGTGATCACACCCTAACCACTCCCCTGCCAGCTTGATTGATCCCTGCCAGCCAGTTTGCCCCTAACTGCCCTCCCCTGTTCTTCCCTGCAGGCCTGGGTCCCCCCCAACTGCCCTTCCCTGCAGGCCCGTTCGCTGCAACTTCCCTCCTCTGCCGGACTGGTCACCCCTAACTGCCCTCCCCTGTGGGCTTGATCACCCCCAACTGCCCTCCCTTGCAGGCCTGGTCCCTCCCAACTGCCCTCCCCTTCTGGCCATCTTGCGGTGGCCATCTTGTGCCCACATGGGGCCAGTCATCTTTGACCACATGGAGGCAGCCATCTTGTGTGTTGGAATGACAGTCAATTTGCATATTACTCTTTTATTAGATTGGTTAGAGGCCTAGTGCATGGGTGGGGGTTGGCTGATTTTCCCTGAAGGGTATCCCAGATCAGAGTAGGGGTTCCCTTGGGGCATGGGGAAGCCTGGGCAAGGGGCCTGTGATGGTTTTCAGGCTGGCCATGCCCCTTGGCAACTCAAGCAGAGGCCCTGGTGTCTGGGATTTATTTATCTTCTATAATTGAAACTTTGTAGCCTTGAGCAGAGGCCAGGGCCAACCAGGAAGATTGGCTTCCTCCATCGCTGGGGGCAACCCAAACCTCCTGTTCTCTCCAGCTTCATGGCTGCCACCATTTTTGTTGGGATTTATTTATCTTCTGTAACTGAAACTTTATAGTCTTGAGCAGAGGCCAGGGCTGGCCAGGGTGGGCGGAAAGCTTGGCTTCCTCCATTGCCGGGGAAACCCATGCCTCCTGCTCACTCCATGTTAAGTTGTATCCTCGCTCCTGATTGGCTGGTGGGTGTAGTTGGTGGATGTAGCAGAGGTACGGTCAATTTGCATGTTTTTCTTTTATTAGTGTAGATTTTATTGATTTTTAGAGAGAGAGGGAAAGAGAAATATTGATGTGTGAGAGTGAAACATCCATCTGCTGCCCCCCTGCACACCCTGCACTGGGAATCAAGCCGCAACCTTGGCATGTGCCCTGACGAAGCATGAATCAAACTGGCAGCCTCTCAGTGCTCACTACATCCACCCAGCTGAGCCACACTGGACAGGCCCCACAGCTTTCGCTAGGCCGTTTGTTTGTTTTATTTTAGTATTTTTGAGCATCAGCCTATATAACTTCTTCCTCAAATAAAAATGTAACATTTTGAATGTACAAATGATTAATGAATCAATATCACCAAGCAGTTTTCCTATGCTCATTTCCATTGTATATTAAATTTCATATTTTTAGAAACTCTGCTTTCTTTCTATCTAGGTATTCTTTTCCCACATTTAATAAAAAACACTTTTCTCTACAAAATTTTAAACTAAGTTTCCCTTTGTTGGGTAAGAATTAAAATTACAACTGAATCATAGTATCTGGAATACAGCTTTTTTCCCCCTATTGCTTTTAGCTTTCTGTATAATTTGGTAAACAAAGTACGAATGAGATTTTAGAATAGTTTAAATAAATCTCTATAGGCATAAAATACATTTTACTAAAGAGGATCATGACCAGCTAAGGTAAATAAAATCAAGACTAAGAAAAGTACACCTTAAAAAGCTTAAAGGTAATATATATTTTTTTGTTTTTATATTATGTACACATATATTGGTATTTCATGAAAAAAATTAATAACCTCACATATTATCCATTTCTTTCTCCTTCATTCTGTGCTCTTGGCATACTCCTTCCATTGAAAAGGAAAAACCAGTGGCACCAGGGTTATCAAGAAATAGGGCAGCTTGCCTACTACCCTGATGCAGTTAGCAACCTAATATTTTAAAAAATGAAAAATTTAAACTGCCTCCTCTCTCTTTTGCTTGTTTTTTTTTTTTTTTTTTTTTTTTTTTGTCTGTTGTGTATTGGAGTTCACTTTGATACCAACATTTTTGGATTGTTTTTTGCACCTCCATAATTTTGGATTTTATATCTTACTAGTGTCATTCATGTACATATGTATACATCAATATGTTATTTCCCTCTTTTTGCATATCATCATGAAGATACTTCAGTGACCACCAGATATTCACAAGTTTTATTTATGTTTCCTCTATAGATTCTGAGTTGGTTTGTGCAGATTTCTCTAGGACTGAAACATATTCATGACAGGAAGATCTTACACCGGGACATAAAAACACAGGTAACAACTCAGAGAAAGAACAAAGAACTGATCTTTTGTTTTCTTGAAATCTCTCAAACAACATAGCATTTTCTCTATTTACAGAACATTTTTCTTAGCAAGAATGGAGTCGTTGCAAAGCTTGGGGACTTTGGTATAGCAAGAGACTTGAACAAGTAAGTTCTTTGTAAAATCATATTTTCCTATTTACAACAACTAAATATGTATATTTTAAGTATTATAAGTTATCTACAATAAGATAAAAAGATATTAAAGGCTTAGTTTCCAGATAATTGTAGATAACTATATAAATTCATTAATCACCTGCCAACATGGCTCAGTGGTTGAGTGTGGACCTATGAACCAGGAGGTCATGATTTGATTCATGGTCAGGACACATGCCCAGGTTGTGGGCTTGATCTTCAGTGTGGTGCATGCAGGAGGCAGCCGATCAATGATTCTCTCTCATCATTGATGTTTCTATCTCTCCCTTCCTCTCTAAAATCAATAAAAATATATTTAAAAATAAAGTAACTTTTCCTTCCCTAGCAAATGGGGCCTGGTTAAAAATAAATCCATTAGATCATCCAGATGGAAAAAAAGAACACATTCAGATGGTACTTTGTCTGAGGTTAAAATTCCCAAGATAAATGTTGGTATGATAGAATAATGGTGACAATGTGGCATAGTGTCCTCTAAACTTACCAATTGAGATGTAACTTTTTTTTTTAATCCTCACTCGAGGATATTTTTCCATTGACTTTTAGAGAGAGTGGAAGAAAGAGAGAAAGACAGAAATATCTATGAGAGAGCAACATATTGATTGGTTGGCTTCTTCACGAGCTCCTACCAGGCCTGGGCCGGGGAGGAGCCTGCAACCGAGGTCCATACCCTTTACTGGTATGAACCTAAGACCCTTCAGTTCTCAGGCCGACACTATCCACTGGGCCAAACTGACTCGGGCAAGATGTAACTTAATATGCATAAAGCTAGGGAGAACTTAGTGAAACAAACAAATTTACACATGCTGGATATATAGGTGTAACTGTTTTGGAAGATAATTTGGGGGTAATATCAATAGATTTCTAAATGTTCTAATTTTGGGGATTTGTTTTAAGGGGATAATGTGAAATTTGTAATAATTTAAATGTCTAATCATTGGGAAATGGTTAAATTTAATAGGACTTGGCATAGCCAGTACCTGAATATTATGTAGTCACTAGCATTCATGAATTGAAGACTTCTTGATGATGTGAGGAAATATTTGTTATATCAGGTAAAATTATGGAATTCTGAATTTTAAATACACTATGATCATAGTATTGTGAAAAATTGCGTGGAAAAAGACAGGAAGGATATATATCAGAATTTTAACAATAACATAATTGTTTTTGGGTGGTAAGATTATGGATAATTTTTTTCTTCTTTACTCACTTTTGTTTTTCTCAAATTTAAATCATGAGATTGCATTTCTTTGATAATTGGGAAGAGGGGACTTTTTGTAATATAACAATTTTTATAATGTAACAATTTTTGTAATGTAACAATTATACCTCTTTATGAAGACTTTAGGCCATAACCTTTTTTTTTAATGTGTAAATTTTGGGGAGGTAAATTATAAGTTTAAAAAGAAACTTTTTATTACTCTATTATCAATGTACAATATTTTTTCTTTAATATATGCATGCATCAAATTTTGTTATCCATTTTTATACCTTTTTTTTTTGCATGTTCATATCTCAAGCCTTTTTTTCTCCATTAATAAACAATGTCATTTTATTATTTAACATAATTTACTAGTTCTACAGAACTTGCTCAAACTTGTATTGGAACACCTTACTATCTGTCTCCAGAGATCTGTCAGAATAAACCCTACAACAACAAAACGTGAGTGGCTGACTATGGGTTTAAAGGTCTCAGTAAAATCAGATGGATTCTCTCTTATGATACCTTTGTAATTTTATTTTCTTCACTAGAGGCCCAGTGCATGACATTCTTGCACGGGGTGAAGGGGGCAGTGGTGTCCCTCAGCCCAGCCTGCACTCTCTTGCAGTCTGGGATCCCTCGCTCCTTACCCCCCCTGCAGGGGAGGTGGGAGAGGCTCCTGTCACCTCTGCTGCGCTCAGCCCGTGAGCCCGGCTTCTGGCTGAGCAGTATACCCCCTGTGGGAGGGCATAACCACCGGGGGCAGCTCCTGCATTGAGCGTCTGCCTCCTGGTGGTCAGCGCACATCATAGCAACTGATTGTTCCCCTGTTTGGTCGATTTGCATATTAGGGTTTTATTATCTAGGATGTGTGAAATTCAATTCCCAGTCAGGGCACATACAAAAATCAGCCAATAAATGCATAAATAAGTGGAACAACAAATTGGTGTTTCTTTTTTCTTTCTCTCCCTTCCCTCTCTAACTTCAATAAATTAAAAAAATTAATGAAGGAAAAGGAACCATATTTGATACATACATATGTATGGGAACCCCACTTACATGAGAGAGTCAGAGCGCCCACATGTAGGAGAGGTTTAGCGATGGAAAGGGGACATGGGTATCTAAGACATTCTGAGCTAGGGATGAGATAAGGTGCCTCAGGGGCTTCAAAGGGTCATTGCAATATGATGAGAGCAGACCTTTAGTAAAATGAGGTTTTCCTCACCCTGTTAAATAGGTCGAAAGGAGTTATCGCTGATAATGGTTTGTTATGGGCGAGGCTCCTAATTCAATTTCTTCTAGGTAGTTAAAAGGGGGGCAGAAATTTCTCTGGGACCTGTGGCTAAAGTAATCTGTATATCACTGAGGCACTTCTGCTTGTTCTGAACTCCTCTTCCCCACCCCACAGCAATGCCTTCTTACTGTGGTCAGCAGTTAGGCAGACATGGCAGAGGTCACGTTGATGGAAAGCTCGGGTGCCCAGCAAAGGACAGTGGTAGGGTGGGACCTCATCCCTAGGGTGAGTTTTCCTTCCCAAGCAAATGCCTGGTCATGAGGTTTGGATCTCTCCCTTCCCTTCCTAGAGATAACAATTAGGCCTCAGTTGTATTGCAGCTCCAGTCCCAGAAAAGCAGCAAAACTAGAGAAGTGACCCCACAGCTGACCTCCCCAGCTGCACTGAAAAATGACCCCTCCCCCCTGCCCTGGCCCCGACCAATCCGTCAGTGGAGACCCTGACCCTGAAAGGACACGCCTGGGAAGCTGCTGAGAATTCCTCCGGGACCTCCCCTAAACGCTTCCCCTTACAATCCTCAGGAAAGCCTGGCCAGAGCGGCTCAGCTAGTTGTGTCCTGTGCATTGAAAAGTTGCTGGTTCCATTCATGGTCAGGAACCTGGGTTGTGGGTTTGATCCCCAGTCAGTGTGTTTATTTCTCTCTCTCTCTAAGCATGTCTGTGTGTCCTGGGGTGAGGATTTAAAAAAACCCAAATCCTCAGGATGGAGGACCCAGTGTGCTCTCCCTCCTGGAGCACTCCCGTGCCTTCCCCTTGCCCCTCATACCCCCAGGCACGTCACCTTTACCATCCTCACTTCTAAGCTCAAAGATCCCTTCCTTTGTCTCCATAACTTGTTTCCTAAACCCATTTCTTCTGCAAATTACTTCTACTTCGTGATTTTGTAAGTAAATGTTCTCTTATAGGTTGGGGCTTGGCTCTGAATTCTTTCCTAGCCAGAACTTAAGTACCGAGCTGCTGAACCCAGGTCCAGTCTGACCCCACCAGCCTAACACCTGGTGCTATTCCTGCTGTTGCCCATGTATATGATAAGTTCTTTGGTGGCAAGAAAAGAATTCCAAATGCACACACGTGGGAAAGTTTAAATGTGAAGGCAAGGTTTTATTGTGAATTAAGGGGAATTAATGCACCCCTGGGAATTGGAGGGTGGGCAGGCTCTAACACCCTGTCATGAGGCTCATGTTAATCCTCCATATGTCTTCTTGGTTCAGGTAAAGGACAAAGAACCAGTCAAATTCCTAACTTTTCCTGGGCCTGGAGTCAACCTTCCTTCCAGTAAATTCTATTGGGGTTTCATGGCCTCTATCTAATTTGATTACCTTTCCAATTGTTCCCAAGCTAGTGATAACCAGGAGGGTGAGCCAAGGTCCCCTCCATCTCCCCCCAACTCCCTGCCTGGGTGGTGTCTCACGATGCTAAAGAATGAGCTTCATGAACCAGAAGGTTTAAGAAAAAGTGGAAAATTTATTACAGACTCAGGCTCCCCACATGGGGAGGGGCCCAAATAACGGGTACCAGGGAAGCTAGTTGGGTATATACATGCTATAAGCCTGCACTGTATCTGTGTCGCCACCTGATTGATTTGCTCATTGTTCTTGCCCAGCAAGGGATCTGAACTTTCTTTGTTCCTATGGCACCAATACACCTGCAGGCTCTCCCTTGGTTTCACATGCCTCCTGCTCTGTGTCCAAAACATTCTGTTCTTTTTTGCATGGTTGGTTTTTGTGATTAGGCTTGTTCAAACTACTGTGTCTGTCCCTACCTGTGTTCCACCTGCCTTTGTCTTCCACTGAACCTCTGCCCCGTCTGCCTGCGTGTCAAGCTAACTTCTCTCACATTGTTTTGTCACCCTGACTCCCATTGTGCATTTCCATAAGTTTTATTACATCATCTGGTTCTTATTGTGCATGCAGAGCAGAGCACCCCTGGGGATATTTCTGAGGATTAAGTTCTCTGAAGTGTGTGAATGAGTCTGTTTACCAGAAACTAGATGGAATTCTGCACTGTTACTTGCTTCTCCATTTATTAAGATTACTTAGTTCCCTTTTTCTTTCTTCCTTATATTAATAACTATCTTTACCATATTAATAATTAGCTATCAATGCTGACAATACCACTGCCAACATAGGCACTATTTATTTTATTGCAAAAAGTGTTGTAGGTGGGCAAGATAGAAGGCACTGATGACAGAGCACTAGACTAGGAGCTCAGAATCCCAGTCTTACTAGTACAGAGGAATTCAGAATGAGTCACCCAAGATATGCTTCTGTGGTATGTGGATTTGAGTTAAAGGCAACCAAGACCCTGTGGGCTCGAAAGAAACGTCTGCTTCCCCTTAATTACCTAGAAGAATTTAAATTAGGGGCCTTTCCATAATAAGAAATTATCAGAGATAACCTTTTTGAGCTATCTATAGAGCAAGGCAAACTTGTAATTACTCAAAATCTGTTCTTATCATCCTGCAGTGGCTTTTCTCCCCTCTGAAGCCTCAATGTGCCTTACCTCATCCTTAGCTCAGAATGTCATAACACTTCATTTTCCCTTTCTGACTCTGAGCCTCTCACGTATGCAGGGTTCCCATGTGTGCATAGATAATTAAATTTGGTTATTTTCTCTTAATCTGCCTCATGCAGATTTTAAAAAAATATATATTTTATTGATTTTTTTACAGAGAGGAAGGGAGAGAGATAGAGAGCTAGAAACATCAATGAGAGAGTAACATCGACCAGCCGCCTCCTGCACACCCCCTACCGGGGATGTGCCCACAACCAAGGTACATGCCCTTGAATGGAATCGAACCTGGGACCTTTCAGTCTGCAGACCGATGCTCTACCACTGAGCCAAACCGGTTTCGGCTGCCTCCTGCAGATTTAATTATTAGCCCCGTTGAAAGGACATTGATGACAGAGGACATTTCTTCCCCACGCCTGGCTCTGTCACCAGCTTGACCAACTCACTTGGCCTCTGTGAGCCTCAGTTCCCTTTCCTGTAGCAACACGAATGCTGGCTAGGTAATCATTAAGGTGTCCTCCACCTTTAAAACCCAGCTACTTTTTTTAATGTATGTGATACCAGAGTCTAGGGCTCGGGAGTAATATTAATATACATAGTGATAAAAGATGAAGATGAGGTAGTTTCGACTTTCATTTAAGGAAAAGAAAAATTCCCCCTCTCCCCCCCCCCCCCCGCCCCCCCCCCCTCCCCCAATTTTCAAAGCTTGACTGCCATTGGAACCATTTGGACTACTAGTTCCTTTTGGGAGTTAAATGTCTATTTGTTTAGAAAAACACCCAGGGACATGTGACTGTTTGAAACGTAAAAGGAAGGCAAAGCCGAGTTAGTAGAGATTTACAAAGACAACAGTAAACATTCCTCTGTATAATAAAAGAACAGACATTTGTTCGTTTGTTTTTAAGCTGACTCCTGGCACCAGAGGCGTTTGGCCTCCAGATGAGCAGGAATGAGCTGGTGCAGGGCTGGGTAGAAGGGCAGGCGACCATCCAGAGCAGAATTCAGTGCTGCTGCCAGCCCAGAAACCTAGGTTAGCAGCACTGTTTTGTTTCCGTGTACTGTTTTTTCAGAATTTGGGCCAGCATTCAAATGTGTGGATGTTAGCAACAGTCAGCTGCGTCCTCTAGCCCAGGAAGTCATTCCCAGGTTCATCTCAGTCCTCACCACGCACACGGAGGCTTTATTTGTGGAGCAGCAGCATAGAAACATTCAAGCCTGTAAAGAATTTTTATTAGTATATTTGAGCCAAACTGATGACAATTGCTGGGTAGCAAAATCTCAACAAATTGAGAAAATGCTACTAAGAATGGCAGTCTTGCACCTTATTTTATACATTTCAATAAAAAAAAAAAAGATATAAATGGGTTACATGAAATCCCTTGGTGACAGATTAGGGAGGTGGGGAGGTGGGGAGAAAGCAAAGGTGGGGGACACTTCTGGGACTGGGTGAAAAGTAAAATGATAGACACACATCTTTTACATAGGTGGGTGCAGGGTAGTTAACAGTCAACAATTAACATAACAGCAATGAGGTCTCTGCTCTGGTGTGGCTGTGGTGGCAGGAGGGGTCCAGATAAAGAACTTATCCTGACAGTCGTATGTTGTCATAGATGCAAAAGACAATAGACAGGCTCAATTAAGGTAAAGATTGACTTTTTCCAGGGAAGATTCTAGCATAGGACATGACTGAAAGGTTAACCTGGTGATATGCAGGCAGGCTAAATAGCGATCTCAGATGATTGTTAATGTAAGAAAACATTCAAACCTGTATAGAATTTTTGTGAGTTTATTTGAGCCAAACTGTCAACAATTGCCAGGAAGCAGAATCTCAGTGTATTGGGATAATGCTCTGGACAATGGCAGTTTTTCATTTTGTTTTATACGTTACAATCACAGTGGGTTACATGAAAGATAGATTAGGGAGGCAAAGAAAGAAAGGGTGTTGGGGGTAACCTTTGGGGTTGGATAAAAAGTACAACGATAGACACCTGCTTCTTTTACACAGGTGGGCACAGGATAGTTAACACTCAACAATTAACGTGATAACAATAACATGAAGGAATTTGTGGTCTCCAGGCGCCCTGGCACATTGGTTGTGTCCTGACATGTCTAGAAAAAGGGAAGTTGAAAGTTACCCTGACATTCCAATGATATGTTATAGCTGCAACCATAGACAGGCTTAGTTAAGGTACAGATTAACTTTTGTCAGGGAAGAATCTAGCCTAGGACATGACTACCTGCCATAAACTGCTTTTTAATTAAAAGGCTTTAATTTCAGACCACCCTTTGTGGTTACTTTAGGTCTATGAGTTGCAAGGCTGCCATGCAGGCCTTCCCTGTGTGGCCCCTTCTCGCCCAGCGTGGATAAAGAACAATAAAATTTATTTAGGCAAAGGGGCAGGAGGATGGGACATCCAGAGGGAAGGGCTGCAGAGCACAGAGCCAAGGGGACATTGGGTCCATGATGGCAGCACCCAGGAGCTGTAGTTCCATCCCTGTGCGCAGTCACTGGCAGGAAACTTGTGTTGTCAGTGGGCTGGGCTGAGTCTGTGGGTTTGGAATGCAGATGGAATACAGATGTGCAATCAGGTATCTTCAGGACAATTTCCTTTCCTTGTATGGAATGACTCCTGGTGTCCAGTGAGCGTTTTTTCTGGTCTTTTGTTCTGGAGGGGAAAAGGAGTGGTGTGGGCTGCTCCCCACAGGGAGAGAGGGAGCTGGGTCCTTTGTCTTAAGGATTTTATCTCTCTCTTGCAGGCAAGGATCTTTAGGGGAGTTCTCAGGGGAGGGTTTCAGCAGAATTTTCATCAGTTTTCTAGGTGGGGTTTTAGGGTTGAGGTCTACTGATTGATCAGTGCAAATGCAGGGGGTCATCAGTTACTGCAGCATCACTCACCTGGTTTTTCTGAGCCTGGAGCTGAAATACAACTGAGGTCTAGATGTTATCTCGGGGGGGGGGGGGGGCTTCTGTATATGCTGTAAATTGCTCAGCCTATTTGTTCAGCTGTCTGTCTCAGTGTCCCTATTCCACTTGTCCTGGCTTACTGGCCTGTCTCATTTCTTACTGCCTTGAATTCTCATTATACATTTTTGTCACTTAAATTCATGCTTTTTATTCTATAAGGTAATTTTTTATTAAGCCAATCACATATAGCAATCACATATAAATATTAAGTATGAAAGAGCAAGTCTCTAGTCATCTATATATATATATAAAAGCCTAAACAACAGTCGACTGGTAGCTATGATGCTCACTGACCACCAGGGGGCAGACGCTCAATGCAGGAGCTGTCCCCTGGAGGTCAGAGTGCTCCCACGGTGGGAGCACTGCTCAGCTGACCAATGGGCGCCAGATGCCTGGCTCATGGCTGGTGAGCACTGCAGCAGCAGCATGAGCCTCTCCCATGGACACTGCCCCAATCTGGACCAGGACCTTGGCAGCGGCAGGCACAGCAGGGCCAGGATGAACAAGAGCAGTGCCTGGCCCAGGCCCAGGCTCCTCCCAGGCCCCCCGCTGCTTCGTGTACTACTACCCCCCTCAGGGGATGTAGGACTGCTGGTTTTGGCCTATCCCTGCAGGCCAGGCCAAGGGACTCACCAGTGCACTGGGCCTCTAGTATATTATATTATAAGCACATTTTCCAAGTAAATTGAGTACCAGATACTATGTTCATCACTTAATGTGTGCCTGTGGGGGGAAGAAGAGGGGAAAAGGAGAGGTGTGGGCTCAATACCTTTGGTTCTGTCAATAGCCTTGTGTAGAACATACCTTGCTAACTCAACCAAATTTTACCTTTTGAATCAAAACAAATTTATGTTTGAGTCCTGCCTTCCCTTACCAAATGCTCAAAATTTCATATTTTGAGCACACAATGTTGAAATATACCTTTTCTCTGTTAGGATTCTGACACAACTACAAATTGTTTTTATTTTTCCCTCTTATGTTAGTCAGAATAAGAATTGATAATGTGCCTAAAAACATTAAAAAAAAAACACAAGTCAACCTATATAAAACTGTAAAGATACACAAGTATAAAGTACTGCAAGGATAAGGCTTTTATTATGAACTATGGATATGTTTTTGGCATGTAAACTCTTAATCTCCTCCAGGGATATTTGGTCTCTTGGCTGTGTATTATATGAGCTCTGCACACTCAGGCATCCTGTAAGTATATTAATTTGTAAATTAATGATAAATTTTTGAAACTATTTACTTATGAGAGAAAAAGTTTGGTATCATTCAATTCTTAAAAATTATGTGGGAAAGAGGGTAAATGGTAATGGAAAAATCTTATATAATAAAGAGATAATATGCAAATTGACTATCACTCCAACACACAAGATGGCCGCCCCAATGTGGTCAAAGATGGCCACCCCCATGTGGACACAAGGTGGATGCCACAAGATGGCCAGCAGGGGAATGAAGTTGGGAGGGACCAGGCCTGCAAGGGAGGGCAGTTGGGGGCAATCAGGCCTGCAGGGGAAAGCGAGTTAGGGGTAACTGGGCTGGTAGGGGAGGGCAGTTAGGGGCAACTAGGCCTGCAGGGGAGGGCAGTTGAGGGTGACCAGGCCAGCAAGGGAGGGCAGGTAGGGGTGACCAGACCTGCCGGGGAGGGCAGCTGGGAATGACCAGGCCTGCAGGGGAGGGCAGTTGCAGAGGACCAGGCCTGTAGGGGAGGGCAGTTAAGGGTAACCAGGCCTGTATGGGAGGGCAGTTAGGAGCAATCAGGCAAAGCAGGGGAGCAGTTAGGTGTTGATCAGGCTAGCAGAGGAATGATTAGGGGGTGATCAAGCTGGCAGTCAGAAGTGGTTAGGGGCAATCAGGCAGGCAGGCAGGCAAGTGGTTGGGAGCCAGCAGTCCTGGATTGTGAGAAGAATGTCCAACTGCCCGTTTAGGCCCGATCCTGGTGGGATCAGGCCTAATCAGGCAGTCGGACATCCCCCGAGGGGTCCCAGATTGGAGAGGGTGCAGGCTGGGCTGGAGGACACACTCCCCACCCTGTGCACGAATTTTGTATATCAGGCCTCTAGTATAAAGATAAAGGAAAAAAGAAAGCAAAAAAAAAAAAAAAAAAAAAATTATGTGGACAAGTTATTGAGAAGAAAAATAGATCTATATATGCTGGCGTGGAAAGCTGTCCGTATATTATAAGCTATGTTATAAAGTAAATCGTATACATAGCACATTTGCATTAAATATAAACTAGGTGAGGCCTGGCCAGTGGCTCAATTGGTTGGAGCGTTGTTCCATATACCAAAAGGTTTTGCGTTTGATTCCAAGTCTGGGCACATACCTAAGCTTTAATCTCTGGTTGAGGGCACTTACAGGCAGCAACGGTCTATGTTTCTCTCACATCAACGTCTGCCTGTCTCTCTCACTTCTCTCTCTCCCTCCCTTCCCTTCCTCTCTCTAAACATATCCTCAGGTAAGTTTTAAACAAACAAACAAACAAACAAACAAACACACAAATAAACTGTGAGCATATATAATCAGCAAAGGAAAATGTACATGGGGTGAAGTCTATAGGAAACCAGGCACAAGCTTTCAGGAGCCTTTCCTAGTAGATACACAGGATGTGCTAATTCCTCTAGCAACAAGTTGTGACAGCATGTTTGAAATGCTGTGTACCAGGGAAGCTTAGAGACCCAGTGCCCAGGTTTTTATTTCTGACTCTTCATGTTGGCACCCTCTGCCTGGCATGAACCAAACTTCCAGATTCCTAGAAAGAAAGCAGGTGTTCAACATAAACATATTGTTTACATAAACTGTGTAGGTAAAGAGAGCCATTCTGAATATTTAGGAAATGGTATCTGGAAATCTAAGTTTCCAGATGTCAGCCAAGGACCAATATTGTAAGCAGGATAGCAAAGACCTGCTATGTTAACTCTTTTCTACACAGCTGTCACCATCATCATCATTATCCAAGGTCACACAGCTAGTAAGTGTCTTACCAAAACTTGCATCTTTACTGCCACACCTTGCTGCTGAACATTTTTATTACAGTCATGTGTCACCTAACGTTAGAGATACACTCTACAAAATTTGTAGATGATTTTGTTGTTGTGTAAACATTATGGAATGCTATTACACAACCTAGATGGTACAGCCTACTAAGATCTAGGCTGTATGGTATAGACTATTAATCCTATTGTAATGAATACTGTAAGCAGTTGTAACACAATGGTATTTGTGTACCTAAACATCTAAACATAAAAATGGTGCAATAAAAATAAGATATAAATGCCCTAGCTGGTTTGGCTCAGTGGATAGAGCGTCAGCCTGTGGATTGAAAGGTCCTGGGTTTGATTCCAGTTAAGGGCACATGCCCGGGTTGCAGGCTCGATCCCCAGTAGGGGGCATGCAGAAGGCAGATCAATGATTCTCTTTCATCATTGATATTTCTATCTCTCTCTCCCTCTCCCTTCCTCTCTGAAATCAATAAAAATATACTTTAAAAAAAGATAAAATGTGTCACACATGCATGTGTGTGTGCAAGGGTGGGTGTGGGTGGGCAGGAGGTGGGTTCCTGGGCTCCCCTGCTCTCCAGCCACACCCTTGCTCCAGTCCTGGGTGGGCCCAGAGCAAGTGGACACCATGCTGAGCCTCCTCATCTGTGTAAATCACCCAGAGCTAGTAGCAAATTCAACAACTTAGTTGGTTCCAGCCTTTTTTTTCAACATTGCAAACACACATGGTTGTATATGTGATTCGTTGTTGACTGAAACATTCTTATGTAACACACGGCTGTAAGTGTAAATAACTAAAGATTTTATACACTGGAAGAATTTCTGGTTTATGAAGAATTTTTGTAGAAATGTTTGTGTTATGTTAATTTAAAAAGTAATATGTAAAATTTCATATCATTATGCCCTCAACTCTATGAAACAAACATTATTTTTTAAAAAGGAGTAGGAGGAAATATATCCTATGTGGTGAAAATGTGTAAATATTAGTTTGATAATAAGAAAAAAATGAGCCAAAACCGGTTTGGCTCAATGGATAGAGCGTCGGCTTGGGGCCTGAAAGGTCCCGGGTTCGATTCCGGTCAAGGGCATGTACCTTGGTTGCGGGCACATCTCCAGTAGGGGGTGTGGAAGAGGCAGCTGATCGATGACTCTCTCTCATCGATGTTTCTAACTCCCTCTCTTCCTTCCTCTCTGTACAAAATCAATAAAATATATTAAAAAGAAAAAAAGAAAAAAATGAAACAAAAATACTGATTTAAATAAAATGGCATCTCAGTGAATAACTGCCAATAATATAAACTCATAAAATATTAGCTGATAAAAACAATTTAAGGTGGACCATGGTACTTCTAACTGAACTTTAAAACATTATTTTGTTTCTTGATATTACTTTAAATACTAGTACAATATTGCACTTTTTTTTTTCTAATTTAGTGTTATTATTCCTTGTTCTTTCAGTTTGAAGGTAACAACTTACACCAGCTGGCTCTGAAGATTTGTCAGGCACATTTTGCGCCAGTGTCTCCAAGGTTTTCCTGTGACCTGCAGTCCTTGATATCACAGCTCTTTAAAGTATCTCCCCAAGATCGGCCATCTATTAATTCAGTTTTGAAAAGGCCCTTTTTAGAGAATCTAATTGCCAAACACTTGACTCCTGAGGTGAGTTCTGAGTTTATCCTGTCTGGATTTTGACAGAGGTTTTGGTTAGCAGGCTCTTGACACTTGTGTTTGGTTTTAGGTCATTCAGAAAGAATTCAATCCTACCCTAATAGGCAGAACAAGATCATCAGTTTCTCAGTCTGCTGGGAAGATGGTCCAAGGTAAGAATGCTTTAACTATGCCATAAAACATTTACTACGTGGGTCTCATATAATGAGTTATATGGCTGGCAACATTAGCAGGGAAATTTCACCAAATATATTGAACATGGACATTTAAAAATTTATGAGCACTATTTGCAGGAGAAAAATCCTCTTGTCCAGAGGTGACTCGTGGGTGTGCCTGTACACCTCGCTGCATGACCTGGAGGAGTCAGCTCCTCTCTTCTTTAGTCAGGAGACTTTATAAAGCAGTGGATTTGCTAATGAAGAGTTAGAATCCAATCTTATGTGTAGGGAAGGTATAGAGAGTAAGAGAGGATTCAGAGACAGACATGGGATGAGGAAATGAAACTTATTTTTTTGAAATAGAGAGGGTGGACTGGCAATTAAGAATTCTCTTAGAAAAGACCCAGTGGAGCCAAGACCGGTTTGGCTCAATGGATAGAGCGTCGGCTTGGGGACTGAAAGGTCCCGGGTTCGATTCCAGTCAAGGGCATGTACCTTGGTTGCGGGCATATCCCCAGTAGGGGGTGTGCAATAGGCAGCTGATCGATGACTCTCTCTCTCATCGATGTTTCTAACTATCTCTCTCCCTTCCTCTCTGTACAAAATCAATAAAATATGTTTTAAAAAAATAAAAAGAAAAGAAAAGACCCAGTGGAGCTGAAGTTAGGATCGCGGAGAGAACCATAACTATGTGACCCCCCAAAGAAAGCAGGTGATGCTGCATGGTCATGTTAAGTAGAATAACATCAGGAATCAGCTGATGATGTGATGAGGAGCAGGACTGAGCCATAAACAAAAGTCTTTAAAGAATAAGGAGTCGTAGAAAATCTCTCTAACGTGAGCAAGATATCGAAAACATACTGAAAGAAATAGTGACAGAAAACTTTCCCCACCTGGTGAAAGAATTAGACTTACAAGTCCAGGAAGCGCACAGAACTCCAAACAAAAGGAATCCAAAGAGGACCACACCAAGACAAATCATAATTAAGATTCCAAGAGCAAAAGACAAAGAGAGAATATTAAAAGAAGCAAGAGCAAAGAAGGTAGTTACCTATAAAGGAGCACCTATACGATTGTCAGCTGACTTCTCAACAGAAACCATGCAGGCCAGAAGGGAATGGCAAGAAATATTCAAGGTGATGAATAGCAAGAACCTACAGCCAAAGATAATCTATCCAGCAAAGCTATCACTCAGATTTGAAGGTCAGATAAAGAGCTTCACTAATAATAAAAAAAAAAGCTAAAGGAGTTCATCACCACCAAACCAGAATTATATGAATTGCTGAAGGGGGTTCTTTCAGAAGAGAAAGTAAATAAAGATAAAAATTATGAACAACAAATACGTAACTATCAACAAGTGAATCTAAAAACCAAGGAAACTAAAAAAAAAAAATCTGAGGAACAATATTAACTGTTGAATATAATAGGATCAGAGGTATGGAAGGGGAGTGAACTGTTTATTCTTGGGGAAAAGGGGAGAGGGGGATGTGGGAAGAGACTGAACATAAACTGTGCACCTATGGATTAGGACAATGGGGGGTGGGGAAATGGCAGAGGGTGGGGTGAGAAGGGAGGGAAGGAACATTTGTAATAATATGAACAATAAAAATTTATTGAAAAAAAATAAAAATAAATAAATATGAAGAAAAAAAAAAAAAAAAAAAAAAAAAAAAAAAAAAAAGAAAATCTCTCTAACGTATCAGTGATAGGGAAATACTATTCACTATGATAGAGAAACTGAAATTGAGGAAAGTTATAAAGGGAAAATTAATAAATTAACCCTTTTACTATGTTTAATTTGATTTGGCACTGTAATGTATTGTTTTAGATTGAGAATGTTTAGAAAGTAGGCAAGTATAGGATGAGAGAAAGTGCATTGTCCACATCTCTAATATGGGAAAGATAGGAAAACAAGAACAAATTTTGATGCTAACAAAGAAAACATATTAGACTTATGCAAATTTTTTAACAAATAGCAATGTGACATGAATGGTGTGACCTGATAATTCAAACTATGATGACTGCATTTAAATACTTGTGCCATTACCTTATGCATAGTTTCTGTAAATGTTAATATTCATTTTTAATTTTAAAAAAGTTAGTATTATATATCACCCTGGCCGGTGTGGCTCAGTTGATTGAGCATTGTCCCATGCACCAAAGGATTGTTGGTTCAATTCCCAGTCCAGGTGCATGCCCAGGTTGCGGGCTCAATCCCTGGTGGGGGGCATATGGTAGGCAGCAGATCCATGTTTCTCTTTCTCTCTCTTCCTTCCTCTAAAATCAATAAAAACATACACGTTTAAAGTATTATTATATGTTACTAGAAATATGTAAGGGGACACTGGAAAAATGGTTTTCTCCATTCAAAGAAAATGCATAAAAATTTTTCATCGGTATTTCTCTCACTGGGAATAAATGTCTCTGTGTAAAGTGAACTTATTGTGCTGTGAGGTGTCCCCTATGTTTATACTCACACAAGCATCAGTGTTAAAGGTGTGAACATTTTCAAAAATTGAACTTGTTTTCTTTCGGTTAAATAAGATTTTAAAATACAGAAAATGAGATTCCAGGGGAAGTGCTTACCAAGATCAAGAATGTCAGTGCCAAATAACACGAAGGATATAGTACATGGATGTGAATGGAGACCACCAGCTGGAGCCCAGAAGCCCACATCTGTAAGTTGTACTAAACACTTTTTTTTTTTTTTTTTTTTGCAGCAGATGGCATATTCTACAGACCTACTTATACATGTTTCTGTGGTACATTGATTTTTCTTTTTTTTTTTATAGAGAGAGTGGAAGGGAGGGGGAGAGACAGAGACAGAAAAACATCCACTTGAGAGAGAAACATCCATGTGAGAGAGAAACATCAATCGGTTGCCAACCAGGCCAGGGACTGAGCCCGCAGCTGGTATATGCCCTGACCAGAATCAAACCTGGGACACTTCAGTCCACAGACTAGGCTCTACCTACTGAGCCAAGCCAGTAGGACTGAAATCTACTAGTTTTATACTTATAATAATATCTTTTTACTGGACAACTTCTAGCTGTTAGACTTTTTAAAGCAATGTTATATTTTCTCACAAGTATTCTATAAATTAGTTTTAGTTTTCTTTTTATAACTAAAATTACTTTAAAATTTTAAAATAAATAATGTTTTCTATATAAGACAAGTGAGTAGCATAGTAGCAAAAATATTATGCATTTCATACTTATTTAAAAATGTACTTTTTAAATTGATTTCAGAGAGGAAAGGTGAGGGAGAGAGAGAGAGAAACATCAATGATGTGAGATGATCATTGATCAGCTGCCTCCTGCATGCCCCTCACTGCGGATCAAGCCAGAAACCTGGGCATGTGCCCTGACTGAGAATCAAACTGTGATCTCCTGTATGCTCAACCACTGAGCCATGCCAGCTGGGCATATTTCATACTCTTAAATCTGATATGTTATATATTATTGAGAATTGTTTATTATATAATTATCAATCTTTTCCTAGATTGTTTATGCATAGTTATTTGAATACACTTCCACAGAGTGTTAAATCTTTTTAAAAAAATTATTTTTATTGATTTCATTTGTTTCCAGAAAGTTTTTTATTTCTTCTCTGTTCTCATTGTTAACCCATTCATTGTTTAATGACATGTTACTTAGCCTTTGTGTGTTTTTCAGGTTTTTTTTTCCTTAAAATTTATTTCTAGTTTCAAACCATTATGATTAGAGAAGTTTCTTCTTCTTCTTCTTCTTCTTCTTCTTCTTCTTCTTCTTCTCCTCCTCCTCCTCCTCCTCCTCCTCCTCCTCCTCCTCCTCCTCCTCCTCCTTCTTCTTCTTCTTCTTCTTCTTCTTCTTCTTCTTGTTCTTCTTCTCTTCTTCTTCTTTTTTTTTTTTTTTTTTTTTGCACCATTCCCGGAGATACTGCAATACATTGATGCGTGGAGTGGATGGAGCAAGCTCCTATTCCATCTCCCAGCTTCAAAAATACATTTAATATATTGTCCTCGAATAGAGGACGTATCAGATATTAAACTGATAAGAACAGATACTACACTTGATCTTAGCCAAAAGGCCGAGAAGCGATAGAGAAGTTTCTTTATATTATTTCAGTATTCTTAAATTTATTGAGACTTGTTTAGTATTCTAACATGTCTATCCTAAAAAAAAATGTTCTATGTCTACTTTAAAAGAATATATATTCTGCTGCTCTGAAAATATCAATTAAACCATCTGATATGGTGTGTCCTTTATGGTTGCTTTTTCCTTGTTGATTTTCTGTCTGGAAGATCTATTTTTTTATATCAATGGGGTATTAAAATTCCTTCCTGTGATTGTATTACTGTCAACCTCTTCCTTTATGCCCAACAGAATTTGATTTATATATTTAGGTGTTCATATGTTGGGTGCATAAATGCTTAAATGGGTTATATACTCTTATTGGAGTGTTCCCTTTATCATTTGTAGTGTCATTCTTTGTCTGTTACTATATCCTTTGTTTTGAAGTCTATTTTGTCAACTATAAGTTTTGCTACCACAGCTCTTTTTTATTTCCATTTACATGCAATATCTTTTTCCCCCTTTATTTTTAGTCCGTATCTTTTGTTCTGAGGTGGATCTCTTGTAGACAGCATGTGCTGTATATGGGTCCTGTTTTCTTATCCATTCATTTACCCTATGTATTTCATTGGGGCATTTAAGCCTTTGTCATTTAAAGCGATTATTGATATTTATTTATTATCATTCTATTCTTTAACTATGTTCCTCTGCTGTTTTTTTTTCTTTTAAAAAATATATTTATTGATTTTTTTCAGAGAGGAAGAGAGAGGGATAGAGAATTAGAAACATCGATCAGCTGCCTCCTGCATACCTCTTACTGGGGATGTGCCCACAACCAGGGTGCATGCCCTTGACTGGAATCGAACCTGGGACCTTTCAGGCCACAGGCTGATGCTCTGTCCACTGAGCCAAACTGATTAGGGCTGCTGTTTTTTTCTTTAAAAAGATCATATAACATGTCTTGTAATACTGGTATGATGGTAACAAACTCTTTTAGCTTTTTCTTGTCTGGGAACTCTTTATTTATCCTTCAATTTAAAATTATAGCCTTTTGGGGTAAAGTAGCCTTACTTATAGGTCTTTGATTTTCATCACTTTGAATATTTCCTGCCAATTCTTTCTGGCCTGAAATGTTCTGTGGTGAAATCACCTGACAGTCATGGGAGCTCCCTTGTAGGTGATTAGTTGTCTTTCTCTTGCTATTTTTAGGATTCTATCTTTGTCTTTAACCTTTGCCATTTTAATTAGGATGGTTTTAGTGTGAGCCTTTTTGGAGTCATCTTGTTTGGTACTTTCTGCACTTCCTGGACTTGTATGTTTTTTCCCTTTATCAGTTTAGGGAAGTTTTCTGTCATTATTTCTTCAAATAAGTTCTTGATCCCTTGCTCACTTTCTTTTCTTTCTGGTACCCCTGTGATGTGGATGTTCGTTTGCTTACTGTTGTCCCAAATGTCCCTTAAACTGTCCTCATTTTTAAACATCTTTTTACTTTTGCTGCTCTGATTATGTGTGTTCTGCTACCTTGTCTTCCAAATCACTATTTTGATCCTTTGTTTCACCCAACCTACTGTGTTTTTTTTCCTTCTGTGTATTCAACATTCCAGATATTGTATTCTTCATTTCTGATTAGTTTTTTTTTTTTATAGCTTTTAGGTATTATTCATGCTGCTGTAGTTCTTAGAGCAGTCTTATAACCATTTAAAATATGTTTTTACCGATTTTTTTTAAGGGAGAGAATGGAAGGGAGAGGGAAAGAGAAAAACATTAGGCATTTTTTTGAACTCTACATCTGATCAATTGGTTGACTCCATTTCATTTAGCTCTTTTTCTAGATATTTATCCTGTCCTTTCATTTGGGGCATGTTTCTTTACTCCATGTTTTGGCTCCTTCTTTGTGTTTATTTCTATGTACTAGGTATAGCTACCATGACTCCCAGTCTCAGTAGAGTGGCCTTATGTAGTAGATGTCCTGTGGGACCCAGTGGTGCAATTTCCTTGATCACCTGCACTGGGTGCTCCAGTATTGTCCCTTTTGTGGATTACGTGGGCCCTCCTATTCTAATTGAGTCTTGATTGCTATTGACCCCTTCATGCATGGGGTCGACCTTTAGTCTTATTGACTGTGAGGATAAACTTCCAACACAGTGTGTGAACTGCTGTGCAGATGCTGATCACACAGAGCAGAATTTGCTTCAGCAGGGTCAGTGCCTACTGAGATCTCTCATTGGATATGCCACTTGTGAAGCTAATTGTATCCTGATTTGATGTTGTCTAAAGAGGGCCACTGGGTTTATTAGTACTGGAGCCTCTTGGGAGGGATTTTGGTACAGGCCAATGTCAGACACTGCCTATGACGGGCCTTGATCCACCTGTTTGGAGCTACAAAGCAGTCCACAGTTTTTGGCTCTCTCTGCTGGGCCTGGGCATGAGTAGGGAGGATCAAACTGCACACCAAGGCTGGCTTTACCAGCTCTGGGCACAGAGGCAGGTCAGCAAAAGCCCAAGGAATGCTGATACCTGCCTTTACCAGCTGGATAAAATATTTTTTAATTCTAGGATTTGGAGATTCTAAAATTATTTTAATCTGGAAACAATTCTAGAGCAAAACAACAAAATGTACCTTCAATGCCTTGTGTTAGTTATAGTCATTATCAGACTTTTAATTATTATAGATTTGTATTTTTAAAATTTTCTTTTCTTATTAATCCCTCAGATAAAAATGGTAGAAAGGCCCACCAAACATGCTGGAGTGTGTGGCCATTATGATTATTTCTATGCTCAACTTGACTTGTTAAGGAAGAGATACCATGAACCACATTACCACCATGTTTCTCATAAAGATACCAGAGTTAAGGAGAATTATAGTCAGGAAGAAAACAGCAGTCAATCACCAGGCCAATGGTAATGTGATTGTCTAATTTAAACTTTGGTCTTCTGAAAACATCTTGCTATATCAATGTATCTGCAATCCTTCTAAATTCTCCTAAAGTAAACAATCCAAGAACTTTCAAACTCTTCATTTCAAATACTTAATTCTCAGTTCCCTCGACTGTTTTTATTCATTTTTTGTTGTTATTAAAATGTTTTTCAATTATAGTTGACATACAATATTATATTAATTTCAGGTGTACTTCATAGTGATTAGACATTTATAAAGTGACTACTGCAATAATTCCTTAACCCTTTTTCATCCAAGTCTGATGGAGCTTATCTTCTTACTCATGCAGCCATTTAACTACAGGCACAAATTTATATTCTTGAATTTTTAATATTTTTTCTTCTTTTAGTAAATTTCACTGCCTGGAACTCGTGAAGTATATATCATATTCCAAAGAGGTTATTAATATTCATAATTAATAATTGACTTATAATTAGATTATCATTTGAGATATATTAGAAATTAAGATATATTTCATTCAGCATTTATATTTTTGGAATTTTTTTTTCAGAATATTGATGTATTAAAAAAAATAATACAATGAAACTGCTGTTATGGCAGACTTTCAAAGAATTTGTTTCATAACAAATTTTTGCATATCTACAATATTTTTCATTCTTTATTGCACACCAATTTCAGTGTTTCTATGTTCAGAATAATTGACACCCATCCACAGTCCTAAAAATCTAAGTTATTTTAAAAATATATATATATTTTATTGGTTTTTACAGAGAGGAAAAGAGAGGAATAGGGAGCTAGAAACATCGATGAGAGAGAAACACCAATTAGCTGCCTCCTGCACAACACCCACTGGGGATGTGCCGCAACCAAGGTATAGTCCCTTGACCAGAATCAAATCTGGGACCAATCAAATCTTGACGCTCTATCCAATGAGCCAAACAGGTTTTGGCGTAAGTTATTTTTTTTAAAAATGGTGTTACCATCAAATTTTTTTTCTTTCAGGGATGATAAATCACTAACTTTTGGTAACTGTGATCATTATTTATTGAAATATTGGCTGAATAATGAAAAATACAATACTATGTGATGGTAGGCTCATCAGATAATGAATGAAAAGATTAACTATGGGAAAAGCACATGTTTAATTTTAAAAGATATTGGATGGTATTATAATTTTATACATCTTAATAACACATTTTCAATGATCTCCATGATTATCAAAAGTTGTGTGTTCCACTAGTTCAAATTATAATATTCATATAGTACTCAACTAGTAAGCATTTTACATAGGTGCTGCCACAATGTCCCTTGCCCTTTCCCAGCCACAGGACAAATGTCTTCTAGTCTTTGCCTAGATCTGTGAAAGTATCTATTATTTTATTATAGATAGTTTTATCTCCCAAACTTTCACATAACATGGTAGAAAGGTCCTTCTCTTTCCTGAATACCACTGCCCATAATACGCCCATCCTACAGTGACCCAGGATGCCCCTCTGATGAGTTGACTAGTAATCCCCTACTAATTGTTATTCCAGGCTCTCACTCCCAGCTTTCTCACTCTCTGGGTTCTGATTCCATGGGAATCAGGTGTTGATATACTTGTCTGGAGAAAGAGGATTCTGTATAGGGTTGGAGTTTGTGTGTGTGTGTGTGTGTGTGTGTGTGTGTGTATGTGAGAGAAAGAGAGAGGGAGGGAGGGAGGGAGGGAGGGAGAGAGAGAGAGAGAGAGAGAGAGAGAGAGAGAGAGAGAGAGAGAGAGAGAGAGAGAGAGAGATATGGAGGGAGAGGGAGAGAGAGAGAGAGAGAGAGAGAGGAGAAGGAAAAGGAGGAAGAGGAGGAGCAGGAGGAGGAGAAGAAAGAGGAGGAGGAAAAGGAAAAGGAGAAAGAAGAAGGAGAAGGAGGAGAGAGGAGAGATAGAGAAATACAGAGAACATATTTTGGAAAGTTCTGGGTGACTGGAGTTTTTCTCATGGAGATATTATTATGCCACCACTTAGGTTCCTGAGAGACATTAAGCTACACATCAACCTCATTTGATTTCAGCGTTATAAGTGTCAGACATTGGCCAGTCACCTGTACAGACCTAACCTACTCTCATCCTCATATCAATTCCTCTGGAATAGTATCGTGCCCATTTTATATATGAGGAGTGAAGGCCCAGAGACCTTAATAAGCCTGTCATTTCATCCTATTTCTAAATGACTGACGTATTATGCATAAACTGGGGACTGCTCACCATGATGTTCCCAAAGGAGTTATTTCTGAAATGATAGTTCTGGTTTTGGAGCCCTAGAATTTACTGGAGTTCCAAAGAACTTTATCATGTAGTTTATACTATGATCTGAGTTTTTATTTAGTATCAGTAATTACAGAAATTCTTAGCAGAAAATTTTGCAAAAAAAAAAAAAAGGCAATAAATATATAGAGAACATAGGTAGGTATAAGCTTAAAATGGTTTGATCAGGATTGTGCTGGAAAAATACCTTAAACATTGTGAGAGACAGTAAAGCCTCATTTTTTATGCATTAAGGATTTGTGTGCCAGTGTGAGGAGTAGAGGTAAAGTGATGGGACAGTATCCTGCTCTCAAGGAGCTGAGTGTAGTGTGGGAAACATATCAGCAACCATCAGGCACACCAGGGGCGACAAGGCTGTAGATTAGAGGTCCGCACAGAGCATGATGTGGGTGTGTCGTCGTCGTCCCTGCGCCCCCGTCCCAACATATTATAAACTGTAGAAGAATGGATTCTAGTCCTTCTGGGTCAGAATAGTTTTCTGTTGTATTTTCTCCTGTATCCCCAATTGTTACTATTCTCTTTACCTCCTTTTCTTTTTAATTTTTTTATTCCAAAGATCTTCTTTTCCAATGTATACATTCCAAAACTTTGAGGTACCTCTTGAACTCAGAACTTAAAGTCACAAGTGAATTGTGAATCTCATTATTAAGCTAAAAATTCACTTGTCAAATTGGTGACTAAGGTTAGTTAACATTTCCACTCAAACTGAACATTTTTATTTCCTAAGGCCTGCTGAATACCTTCAGAGGAAATTTGAAGCTCAGCAATATAAGTTGAAAGTAGAAAAGCAATTGGTGAGTAAAATACCAATCAGGAATTTCCCAACAGTGTCTCTGTTCATAAATATTAATGAATCCTTAAGACAAAGTTCATTCCATATAAAAGATCAAGACTACCTTCCTTAGTTTTTAATAGCTTAAAGAAGAATAATGGGAATAGGCTTGAATTGGGGTCTGGGAATCCTGGTTTCTTCTTGGGCTTTATCACTTGCTGTGTGATGTTAGGCAGGCCATGCAACCTCTCTGCGCCTCAATTTCCTGTTTAATAAATGATAGTTGTGGAGTAGATGAGCTTCAAGCTCCCCTTCTGTGTTGCAGTTCTTTGATTCTATTTTATTATAATCCTACATATTTTTTAAAGTGACTATTATTTTTTACTTGAATTGAAAGTTAACCTTTATTATTAAGTATAGTGTTAAAATTTTGGGGTTCAGGGAGGTTGGTTATGTATTCTATTTGTATCATTCTTATTTTGAACTTCTCAAAGATCCAGTTCTATTCCCCTAATTGCATGCTCTAGGGTTGCTAAACTTTTACTGAATTTTAATTTAACAATTATAATTTTCCAGTTAGAAAATGAATCCTGGTATCTTATATGGTAGCATAAAATATTTATTGCCTTGGGTAAACAACACAAAAGGTTTTATTAATTTTATTTAATTTTTTTAATGTTTTGTACTTAAGACAATGTTGCTGCTCATTCTAAAAAGCTCTCTAGGGAAGGCTGGGGGAAGGTTAAGGGGGGGGAGGAGATAAATGTACTACTATACGTAATACTTTAAACAATAAAAAAAACACACACACAAAACTCTCAAATATGAGTTTAATTGTTTAAAGAAAAAGGTCAAGGTCAGATCAGAATATGTTTCCTAATGCAAGAATGTTTTATAAATTATTTCATTCAAATAATAGGGTCTTCGTCCATCTTCTGCTGAACCAAATCACAAGAGACAAGAGCCAAGAAGTAATGGAGAAGAGCCTAGATTCCAGGAGTTGCTGTTCAGGAGAAACAAAATGAAGGAACAGGTTAAAAACAGTCTGACTCCAGGGCCACCCTTGTACTTACATCATTGTTTTTTGTACTGTCCCCGGTACATGCCTGAGAGAGCCTGTTGTACAAATACTTGCTGGACAGCCTTGTGTGAAGCACCAGGCTGGTGGTTTTAGGAGACACAGAGAGATATAGTTCACCTTCTCTGAGAATGCAGCATGGCTAAGTTCATAAAGGCTTTTTACTTTGGATTGATAAAGTAACTGCCATCATTAAAAGCTGTGAAATTTGTTTTAGTTAACCTAGGGCTCCCTGAAAGCACAGCAAACCAGGTGGCTTACTACAACAGAAATTCATTGGCTCATAGTTCTGGAGGCTGGAAGTCCAAAATCCAGGTGTTGGCAGGTCCAACCTGCCCCAGGAAGCTCTAGGACAGTGGTTCTCAATGCCTCGACCCTTTAATACAGTTCCTCATGTTGTGGTGACCCCAACCATAAAATTATTTTTATTGCTACTTCATAACTGTAATTTTGCTACTGCTAATGAATTGTAATGTAAATATCTGTGTTTTCCGATGGTCTTAGGCTCCACAGCAGCCTAGAGAGGAGTAAAGTTTGAAATTAATTTAGACAAATGTATTTCTGATGAAAATATATTTGAAGAGGAAGAGGTATGTCATTAAATACATAAATATCTAAAGAACTGCTAGCAGGATCACCTAAGACCACCAGAAAACACAGATATTCACATTACAATTCATAACAGTAGCAAAATTACAGTTATGAAGTAGCAACAAAAATAATTTTATGGTTGGGGTCACCACAACATGAGGAACTGTATTAAAGGGTCGAGGCGTTACGAAGGTTGAGAACCACTGCAGTTTAGGGGAACCCCTGTTTGCCTTTTCCTAGATTCTGGGAGCTTGTCAGCAGTTTTGTGCAATCCTTGGCCTACAGCTGCATAAATTTATTCTCTGCCACTGTCACATGGCGTTTTCCCTGTGTGTGTCTTCATATGGCCATCTTCTTAAAAGGACAGCAGGCATACTGGGTTCAGGGCCCACTCTACTCCAGTTTGACCACATCTTAGCTTAGCTCATTATGTCTGCAACGATGCTCTACCAAATGAGGTCACATTCTGAGGTACTGGGCGTTAAGACTCCAACATATCTTTTCTGGGGAGAAAATTCTACCCGTAAGAGGATTGTATATAAAAGTAGGATATATAAAGTAATTGAGATTATGTATCACAGGGAGAGAAGTGCCACAGCCAAAATGTAAGGTGGTTATCATCTTTAGGGGCAACAGGCTTTCTAATTCTGATTATATATCCCACATTGTAAAACTGTAGGCTGTGTAGAGATTATTTTGTTAAGTTGTTCACAGGCATTTACCATTTGTGGATTGGGATTGCTTTCTAGGAATATTGGAAGCAGTTAGAGGAAATACGCCAACAGTACCACAATGACATGAAAGAAATTAGAAAGAAGATGGGGAGTGAACGAGAGGTAAATAAGTTCATGCTCCTGAAGGAAATATCGTATTATTGATTTAGAGCTAACTAAACTGAGCAGGTGCTAAAAGTAATGATTTCATAGAAGAGATAACTTTTTAATCATGCAAATTTTTAAATAGGAAAATTGTCAGATCTTACTGAAGTGCTGCTTTGTTGTGTTTTACTTCAAGCTACCCAGATGATGAGGGCATCTGACATTCTCAGGAAGGGTGATTATGAAAAATGCTTGTTAATTGTTTCTTTCATAAATTAGTCAATAATTATTGACTGGGCAGCCACACTATACCAGAACTGGATTAGATGCATTAAATAAGTTCATGCCCATCAGTGGTAAAAAAAAAAAAAAAAAAAAAAGAAGAAGAAGAAGAAGAAGAAGAAGAAGAAGAAGAAGAAGAAGAAAAAGACCAGCATTTACTGAATTTTGTGCAGTTGAGATGATTCTTGAAAATCCCTTAAATGAATCACTTTGGAAGCTCATTCTTCCATCTTTTAGGTCACTGCTTTTTCAGTAGGACTCCTGATGAAATAGCTGGCCTGTGTTTGGAGACCATGTTATATAAAAAATACATGACATTTAAATACTAGAAACACCTCCGTGCTCAGGAATGCTTCTCCTATGAGAGGCCTGTGGACACTGAGACTGGACAAGACACAGCTGGGCTCCCATCTTACTGGTACTTGGGCTGCATCCTCATTGAGGAAACCATCACACTGCTGCTGAAATTGATCTTTCTCTCCCCGTCTCCCCCACCCCCGAGTGAGTGCCTTAGATGAATTAGCATATGGTACAATTAAGCTGTATGTACTAGAGCTTCACATGCTTTATTTCATTTACTCCCAATACCGAAAGGTTAAGTACCTCGTCCGCACAAGGCAAACTAAATAAATACCTAATTCTAAAACCTCTGCTCTTTCTAGCCTATGCTCTTCTACTCATAAATAGTTGGAAAGATAAGACACACATGTATCAGGCAATTTTTGAATATGAATGAATATAGTTAAGTTCTGTAAGTGCATAGGAGGAAGGATGAGCAGCCTGAGGGTTTTTATGGGAAAAGAAAGGTGGAGCCTAAATTGGGTCTGAGAAGAAGCAGAGTTCAGAGAGGCAGGGCTAAGGAGGAGGCATTCTGAAAGACCATGCAAAGGTCCAAATGGAAGGCTAGATATGCTGGGAGGGGCAGGTTGGAGGTGGTTCTCTTCAGAGCAGAGGCTTGGTTGGTTGCGGGAAGCCTTAAACCATTGTCAGCCTTATTTTTAAAGTAGGTCTGTGATAGGAAACCTGAATCAAGGAAAGATGGAGAGTGGACATTTCTAGCAAGACCATGAAATAAGTACTTGGGGAATTGGGGGAGACCAAGGCAGCCAGAGGGAAAAGGAGCCATAAACAGAGCTCTATCCAACCACCGTTCGTCCCTGGGACAGCAGATGGAAAGCATTTCCTCACTAGATCCCATTTAAACCCTGGCCAAGGTTCATCAAATAGCCTTCAAAACTGACCCAGAATCAATCTTATTGACTGTGTGTAATTTGTGTTAAAGGAAGACTCAACAATAAGTCATAAAACCTATCTGGTGAAGAAGAGTAACCTGTCCATCCACCAAGAGACACCGGAGGAAGAGGCACCTGTGCAGGTGATGGTTATTAGACATCTATATGCTTCCCAGGGAGTTTTCCCTCTTCTGGTGATCCTCACCCCTTATAGTGTAGTATAATCATGTGGAGAAATACCTAATGCGATGCCTGGTCTGGGGCAGGCCCAGGCATCCTGTTTTCAGGAGTTGGCTGGGTGATTGAGTGTGCAGCCAAGTTTCAGAACTGCTCATGTGAACGCATGAAAGTTCAGCTTTCTGGATGGTATTGAAGTCAGGATCTTAGACACATTGGTCAGGAAATCTGACAGTTAACCTCTGTTTCAACTTTACAGTTTTGGAGAGAGTAGAAAACTGGTCAAAACTGAATTGTCATATGGCTCTCCTCCTCCTCCTCTTTCTCCTCTCCCTTCTCCTCCTTCTCCTCCTCCTCCTCCTCCTCCTCCTCCTCCTCCTCCTCCTCCTCATCATCATCTTTTTCCCCTTCTTCTCCTCCTTCTTCTCCTTCTTCTCCTTCTTCTCTTTCTTCTCCTTCTTCTCCTTCTTCTCCTTCTTCTCCTTCTCCTTCTCCTCCTTCTCCTTCTCCTTCTCCTTCTCCTTCTCCTTCTCCTTCTTCGAGGTCTTTACCTTTGTTCTTCAAGGTGCCTCTGGGCTTGAGTTAGGGCAGGTGAGTTAGGGCAGGTAAGTGAAGGCTGAAGGCCTCCTTGAATGTTTTCTTTTATGAAAGACCCTGGGGCCTTCACTTGATGACAGAGAGATCTAAAGTAGATGGAGGTTGAATTTGCACCCAATGAGGTAAATGGGGCTTAGGAGTCTAAGATAGTTGTATTTTAAGGAAAATAAAGCAATATGATACAATTGAGACAACCAGACTACACAGTCAAATCAGACAACCACCTTCACAAATATAAGTAAAATACAAAGTCACAGTCCTATTTCAGAGTTCATAATATTTCAGGGCAGAAAAACCCCCTTCCCAAGGAAGCAGGGCAAACAACTACAGTAATAATGATTCAACCTGCCACATGCTTTAGTAAAGTACATACAAAGGCTATGATAACACAGATGAAGCAGTAGTCGATTCTAAGGGAGAGATGATGGAGACATGCTGTGCAATAATGGAGAGAAGAGAGCATTAAGAATACACACACGGAGACACCAAGGAGAGTCATAGATTTCTGGCTTGAAAGTGATAGAACCATTTCCTAAAATGGGGAAGAGAGTAGGGAGTGAGCTTGTTGTGGGGGACAATGAAGAGATCCCTTTGTCCCTGGACAATGTGGCTCACTTGGTTGGGTGTTGTCCCTGCACTGAAAGGTTGCTGTTTTGATTTCCAGTCAGACCAAGTGCCTGGGTTGTGGGCTCAATCTCCAGTGGGGAATGTGCAGGAGGCAGCTGATCTATATCTCCCTCTCAGATCTCTCCCTCTCTCCCTCTCTCTCTCTCTCTCTCTCTCTCTCTCTCTCTCTCTCTCTCTCTCTCTCTCTCATCAATTAAAAATCGAAAAAACATATAGTTCCCATTGGACATGTTAAATTGAACATGTTGGTTAGAAAAGATCTCAGATTGCATACCTGCTTCAGGGCCTTTGCCCTCCTGCTCCCTCTGATGGAATGTGCTTCCCCCAGACCTTCATATGCCAAGGTCCTTCTTTATTCTAAGGCTTAAAGCAAATACTAGTAGTCTTTTCCTGCATTGCTCTCACCCCTACTCTATGCCATTACTCCATTTTATTTCCTTTAGGGCATTGGTTGCCAACCTTTTGGACCTCATGGATCAGTGGTTGGTGGCCGCTGCTTTAGGGCACTTAAAACCTTCTGGAATTATGCTGTTACTTTGTTAATTCATTGATTACTTATCTTACTCCAGTAAGTTCTATGTCAGCAGGGAACTTTCAGTCACATTCATTGCACTTGCCCATTGGATAGTGTCTGGCCATAATGGGTGCTCAGTATGATTTGTGGAATAAATCTTGAAGTGAAGATGAAGCTAAGTAGGCAGATGAAATGTGAGTCTAAACTCAGAGGGGAGGAAAGATCAAGCCTGAAGATACATGTTTAAGAATCCTTGGATACTCATTTATGGAAAATAAAGAACATTATAACCTGATGAATAAAAAGATAGATACAGAGCCAGTAAAGCACTGATCAGACTGCCAAATTACAGCGGGAAGGCTAGGGAGTGTTGGGGAGGGAGGGAAATAGATCAACCAAAGGACTTGTATGCGTGCATATAAGCACACCAATGGATACAAGACACTGGGGGTGGGTGGGATGAGGACATGCGACAGGGAATAGGGGAGGCTGGGGGAAAGTCATGGGGGGGGAAGAGATATATATACTAATATATGTAATATTTTAAACAACAATAAATAAATAAGTAAATAAGAATCATTGCATAAAGGTAGCTCTTAAATCCATAGGAATTACCTAGACTCTCTCTCTTTTTTTTTTTTAAAAAATATATTTTATTGATTTTGTACAGAGAGGAAGAGAGAGAGATAGAGAGTTAGAAACATCGATGAGAGAGAGAGTCATCGACCAGCTGCCTCTTGCACACCCCCTACTGGGGATATGCCCGCAACCAAGGTACATGCCCTTCACCGGAATCGAACCCGGGACCTTTCAGTCCCCAAGCCGACGCTCTATCCATTGAGCCAAACCGGTCTCGGCTACCTAGACTCTCTTGTTCTGAGGAAGAAAGGAGCAGAGGGCCTAGGGCTGAACCCTGGGAAAGCTCAATATTTAAAGTTCACCTCTCAACTATCTTTGAAATTCTTTTTAAAAAAATATATTTTATTGATTTTTTTTTAACAGAGAAGAAGGGAGAGGGTTAGAGAGTTAAAAACTTAGATGAGAGAGAAATATCAATCAGCTGCCTTCTGCACACCTCTTACTGGGGATATGCTTGCGACTAAGATACATGCCCTTGACTGGAATCGAACCTGGGGCCTTTCAGTCCTCAGGCCGATGCTCTATTCGCTGAGCCAAACCAGTTAGAGCTATCTTTGAAATTCGTGTCAAGGTGTATAGCCCTCTCCTTCCTTTATACTGTAATGAGCTGTGTACATTTCTTGTTTTCCTTATTAAGATCATAAAACTCTTCAGAAAAGGATCCTGTAGTCAAAATTACATTTTTTAAAAACATTTATTTATTTATTTTTACATATTTTATTGATTTTCCCCCCTCCCTCCCTCCCACACATCCCCTCCCTCCCCAGAGTTTTATGTCCATTGGTTGTACTTATATGCATGGATACAAGTCCTTCAGTTGATCTATTATCTCCCCCAGATCCTCCTCCCCTCCCCGCTGAAATTTGACAATCTGCTTGTTGCTTTACTGTCTCTGTATCTATCTTTTGGTTCATCAGTTTATAATGATCTTTATTATCCACAAATGAGTGAGGTCATGTGGTGTTTCTCTTTCATTGATTGGCTTATTTCACTCAGCATGATGTTCTCCAATTCCATCCAGGTTGCTGCAAACGATGAGAATTCCTTCTTCTTTATGGCAGCATAGTATTCCATTGTGTAGATGTACCATGGTTTTTGGATCCAATCATCTGCTGACGGGCACCTAGGCTGTTTCTAAATTCTGGCTATTGTAAATTGTGCTGCTATGAACATAGGGGTGCATATATCCTTTCTGATTGTTGTTTCTAGTTTCTTGGGATATATTCCTAGGAGTGGGATTACTGGATCAAATGGGAGTTCCATTTTCAGTTTTTTGAGGAAATTCCACACTGTTCTCCACAGTGGTTGCACCAGTCTGCATTCCCACCAGCACTGCACGAGGGTTCCTTTTTCTCCGCAACCTCGCCAACACTTGTCGTTTGTTGATTTGTTGATGTTGGCCATTCTGACAGGTGTGAGATGGTACCGCATTGTTGTTTTGATTTGCATCTCTCGGATAATTAGTGACTTTGAGCATGTTTTCATGTGCCTTTTGGCCTTCCTTCTGTCTTCTTTTGAAAATATTCTATTTAGGTCCATTGCCCATTTCTTAATTGGATCATTCACCTTCCTTTTATTTAGTTGTATCAGCTGTCTGTAGATGTTGGAGATTAAACCTTTATCAGTGGTGTTATTTGCAAATATGTTCTCCCACACCGTGGGCTTTCTTATTGTTTTGTTGATGGTTTCTTTTGCTGTAAAAAAGCTTTTTATTTTGATGTAGTCCCATTTGTTTATTTTCTCTTTAGCTTCCATTGCCCTAGGGGCAGTATCAGTGAAGAAGTTCTTTTGGCATAAGTCTGAGATTTTGCAGCGTGTGGATGCTTCTAGTATTTTTATGGTTTCCTGTCTGATGTTTAAGTCCTGCATCCATTTTGAGTTTATTTTTGTGTATGGTGTAAGTTGGTGATCTAGTTTCATTCTTTTGCATGTGTCTGCCCAATTTTCCCAACACCATTTATTGAAGAAACTGTCTTGACTCCATTGTATATTCGTGCCTCCTTTGTCAAATATTAATTGAGCATAGTGATTTGGGTTGATATCTGGGTTCTCAATTCTATTCCATTGATCTATTGATATATGTCTGTTCTTGTGCCAGTACCAGGCTGTTTTGAGAACAGTGGCTTTGTAATACAGTTTGAAGTCTGGTATTGAGATCCCTCCTACTTTACCCTTCTTTCTCAGGATTGCTGTGGCTATTCGGGGTCTTTTATTGTTCCAAATGAACTTTTGGAGAGTTCTTTCTAGGTCAGTGAAATATGCTGTTGGTATTTTAATGGGGAGTGCATTGAACCTATAGATTGCTTTAGGAAGTATGGACATTTTGATGATGTTGATTCTACCAATCTATGAACATGGTACGTTCTTCCATCTCCTTACATCTTCCTCTATCTCTTTTTTTCAGTGTCGTGTAGTTTTCTGCATATAGGCCCTTTACTTCCTTAGTTAAATTTATTCCTAGGTATCTTAATTTTTTTGGTGCGATGGTAAATGGAATTGCTTTTTTAGTCTCTGTTTCTGTAGTTTCACTGTTGGTGTATAGAAATGCCATGGATTTCTTGGCATTAATTTTGTATCCTGCTACATTGC